ATTTGGCTTACTGTAATATAGTGAGTTAAGAAGTGCTCTGGTGACAGTGCTAGAAGGAAGGCAGGGCAGAAAGAGTCTGGTAATTAATGTGTGAAATTCAGAGACCTCATGAGCAGCTGCTGCCCTGCTGTCTTCTCTCTCTCCCTCTGTCTCTCTCTGTTTCTTCAAAAGAAGAAAGAAAAACATGGAGCAGTGCCTCCAAATTTCAGCCAAACTATTCATCAAGCCGAAGAATAATACACTTTGAAACATGCAACATGTACTTCAAACATATGCTGATAAGAAACTACTAAAATATTAATTCCACCAAAATGAGAGAGGGTATAAAACAGAGAAAGTGTGCACATCCATGTTCATTGCAGCATTATTCACAAAAGCCAAGAGGCAGAAGCAAACTGTGCATTGACAGATATATGGGTAAAGATTATGTGATATATACATATAATTGAATATTATTCAGCTTTAAAAAGGAAGGAAATCTTGTCATTTGCTACAGCATGGATGAACGCGGAAGGCCTTATGCTGAGTGAAATAAGCCAGTCACAAAAAGACACATACTGCATGAGTCTACTTACATGAGGGGTCTAAAGCAGTCAAAACTCTTAGAGACAGAAAAGAGAATGGTGGCTGCCAGGGCTGGCGGGGAGAGAGAATTGTCGTTTTTGTTCAGTGGGTATAAAGTTTCAGTTTTGCAAGACGAAGAAGTTCTAATGCTCTATTGCACAAAAATGTGCATATATTTAACACCACTGTACTGGACATTAGAAAATGGTTAAGCTGGTAAATTTTCTGTTATATGTTTTTTTACTACAATAGAATTAATTAAGCCTAACTCATTGAGAAACAAAACACATTACTTCCTTAATTAAAATGTATTAGTAAGGCCTACATTAAAAAAAGAGAGAAAGGTGTAGGCTACAGAAAACTGGACATACAACACAGGAGAAAGACAAAGGGAGATCCTTTCTGCCTCATCTATCATCCATGAACCGGCAGAATCAGCATCATACATACTGGGTAGAAAACCAAGCTCACAGGTCCCATCCTTGACATCCTTACGCAGTCTGCATTTTAGCAGGATGCTCAGGTGGCTCCACAGCACTTTACTTATTTAAAAAAAATGTTTATTAGAGTATAGTTGATTTAAAATGTTGTGTTAGTTTCAGGAGTACAGCAATGTGATTCATTTCTACATATACGTATATCCACTCTTTTTTTCTTTTTTAGGTTCTTTTCCCATATAGGTCATTACAGAGTATTGAGCAGAGTTCCCTGTGCTGTACAGTATCCACAGCACTTTAAAGCACTGCCCAGATGGTGGTGGAGGGACATCCTGGGAGGGTGGCTCTGCTCCAGATGTAGAAGATTCCAGTCCAGGTGGGAGCACATCAGAAGGGCCCAGGAGGTTATCTCCAAAAAGGAAAAAGTGATAGAATGCCCAGAGTATCCTCACTTCTTGAAAGAATCATATAAATATGAGAAACATCAAAGTTCAATTAGTGAGAGCTACATAGGAAAGAATCAGACAAAAACAAAGGCAATTATTAACTCAGGGAGAACAAGAGGCTGTGCAGAAAGTGAGAAGTAGTAGTTTACATGAGTGTATTAGTCATGCAAAAGGAAAAGCTGAATGAACTAAACATGATCACTATATAAATAAACTGGGAAAGTGAAGGAATGGGAAGCGTGAAAGAAAGCAATGACTATTAACTATTGCTTCAGCCACTGTGTGATGCGACAGACAGTGGCTGTGGCAGAAAAATCAAGCATCAGTTCTAACAAGGCATTTTGTTTAGAGACTTGGAAGTAAAAGCCAAAAGAATCAGCTAAAAAATATGGAAAGTGGTCACCTCTGGGAAGGTAGAAATTGAGGAGAATCAGAGAGGACTACAATAATAGTCTATTTCACAAGAAAACTAGCACAGATATTTGACCTCTTAATTTACAGATTAAATTAACCACACTGGGAATTCCCTGGCGGTCCAGCGGTTAGGACTCAGCACTTTCAGTGCTGTGGGCCCGGGTTCAATCCCTGGTCGGGGAACTAAGAGCCCGCAAGCTGTGTGGCACGGCAAACAAACAAACCACAAAAATGAACGAGTATGAAAGTTTATGCTTAATGACAACTGAGTACAACAAATGACACTTGAGAGCTGACTAAAATGCAAGAATACTCGAATGGAAACATGCAGCCACAAGTGTGTGAATGACATCAACCCTGAATAAAAACATGAAAGAATACGTCAGTATGCACCTATCTGGATAAATAGATGCATGAATGAATTCTCTTTCCCTGTTACCTTACTGGGCACCCTGTGGACCAGGCACGGAGGGAACAGTATCTGACTAGAGCCCCTCATTATCCTCTTGCTTCCAGGCAGGTCCTGCTGCAGAAAGCATCAGCTGCCTCGAGTCTGTGGGAGGCGCCCCCTAGTACACAGCAGTGCTTTACCCGGGTGGAGCTAAGGTTGTCCTGAACAAGAAGAGCACCACTCACCTGTGTGCCCCAAGACCAGAAGTCAGGAAGGACTGAGGATCAGATGGAGAAATCTCACCGCTCCATCTGCCCTGCAGAAATCAGTCTGAACTGGTGGAGACGCTGATGCTTGATTGATTCCTCCACCTTCTGGGTTCCTTTACTCTCTCACCTCCGCCCAAGGGTCCCCAGCAGTCACATCACCCTAGAAACAGACCGATCCCTATTCCTCATAATCAGGAGACCCCAAAGCCCTGTCCCTGTCCCCCTCCCGTGATATCACCCTTCAGCTCTGCTCTGCTCCATCACATAAAGGTTACAACTGTTCAGGGGAGATTCCCCCACCCAGGGTCAGCCCCTGAACACTGGCCCCAGGTGCATTTTCTCCCAGCCCTTTGTGCTTTGCTGTGAATCTGTCAGTCACTGGGAGCTGGAGGGGAGAGAGAGGTGGAGGATTTTTAGTGCCGCGTCAAGGCAGAGAGATAGACCTCTCCTTCTCCCCAGAATCTTACTCGCTGTCCCTTCCCAGACACGTGAAATAAAGCACAGACCAGACATGCGCATTTAAAGAGCAATTAAAACTCCTAATGTGAAATTATACAGATATTGCAGACATGAAGTAATGCATATACACGTGTGACAGGGTGTGAAGGGAACCTCAAGTTTCCAGAAATCTGCTATTAGTCATTTTGGGAGAAGCCACAGTGAGGAAACTTACTGATAAAGCTTATTTGTAATAATTGAATTATTATCCGTGTATTCTATTATAACATAAAAAAACAAAAATAGAGTTAGTGACTAGTGTAGCACAGCTGCAGCCACCTCATATATAGGAACGGTTTTAATCGTCCCCACCACAACTGGAAATAAACACTATTTTTCTCATTTCATAGATGAAGAAACTGAGGCATCAAGAGGGAAAGTGCTTAGGGACATAGAGAACAGTCTAGTGGTTGCCAAGGGGGAGGGGGGTGGGAGAGGGATGGAGTGGGAGTTTGGGATTAACAGATGCAAACTGGCATATATAGGATGGATAAACAACAAGGTCCCACTGTATAGCACAGGGAACTATATTCAATAACCCGTGATAAACCATAATGGAAAAGAATACGAGAAAGAGTGTATGTATATGTATGACTGAGTTACTCTGCTGTACAGCAGTAATTAGCGCAGCATTGTGTTCATTATTCAACTATACTTCAATAAAAAATAAATTTAAAAAAGAGGGAAAGTGCTATATTGTAAATCAACTACACCTTAAAAAAATAACAAATAAAACATAAAAATAATAAAATAAATAACAGAACACACACAAAAGGGAAAGTGCTAGTAAGACCAGAAGAGGGAGCTGAATTCAGGGCTCTGGCGGCAGATTCTAAGCTCCTCCCGTGGAACTGATGGACACAGGGTCTGACAACGAGGACTGAAATCCCAGTTGTGTAAGGCCATTATGGTCACTTGGCTGCATCTGGCATTGACCCAGGTCTTGTAGGCTAACGGCTCTGGGGAAAAGGAAAAACCAATAACAAATGACCAACTGGCTGCAGAATATTGCTCTTTATTCCCTCAGAGATTCTCCTTCAGTTGCTCCAAAGTCAGGTTCTGCCTTTCTCTGAGGGAAGAAAACACCGTGCCTATTTTGCTCCCTTTTCGCCCAGCCCTTGCTGGGCTCCTCCCCTGACTCCCCAACATCATCACCTGTCCCTGCTTCCACCACCCTCCACGACAGGGACAAAGGTCGGCAGGACGAAAGGACAAGATCCAGGAGTGGAAACCCAAAGCCCTCCCGCCTTAAGCCCGGACCCATCCCCGAAACAGTGCGAGGCTCCGTCACAGACGGGTCCCGACTCTGCGTTCCTCCAGGCCTGGGAGTGGACACACACACAACTCCTTCCTCTCCTCCGTTCTCGGGCCTCCTCACCTGCACAAGCACCTGTTCTACTGCCCGGCTCCACCTCAGGCCCTGACCTCCACCTGCAGCGCAGCCTCCTGCCCGCCTCCAGCCCTGAGCCAGCAGCTCCTAACTGGAAAGCCCATTGGGAAGCCCAGGTGACAGCAGCCCCATCTAGAAAAACTGGGCTGCCACAGGCCCTGCCCCTGACCTGCCCCTGGAGCACCCCTGGCTTGCAGAGGCCTGGCCTTCCCTGCTCCTTCCTGGTTAACTGGCTCCTGGAATCCCAGCTCCACCCCAAGTGCTGCTGCTAGGCTGAGGCTACACAGTCCCTCCTGCCCTGTTCCAGGCAGGGATTCAACCAGGACCACCCTCCCTTCCTGTAGGGATCTGCTGCTCAATGTGGATGCGGGGGACACCCCTAGCCCGAGGCTGTACCTGGCCCCCTCTGCACCCTGCGACTGCCACTGCCACCCTCCACCTCTGCCCCATTTGAATTCCTCTTTCATTTAATATGCACCGCAAGATCAGTATTGGAGGAAATCCTACTGAGCTTTGCCACCTGAAATCATAAACATTTTTATTGGACATCAAAAATTTAAAAAGTAATTTTGAGAAGTTAGCACATGATCTTCACACTGTTTTCCCAGCAAATGCTCCAGTGACATACAAGACAACCATTTCTGCTCCAAGGGAACCAGAACTCACGTTCCCTGGGGGTGGGGGGGGGGGGGGGGGGTCGGGGGTGCCCCAGGTGAGAACAGGAGCAACTACAGAGCTGCCTGGTCCCCTGCTCTGGGTGCTGCATGGACAGAGCCTCTTGCTGTGGGGCAGGGTGACTAACCATCCCTGTATGCCCAGGCTGAAGGCCAAATGATAAGGGAATTAGGCTCATGGATGAGAAACCACATCCCCAAGCATGCCAGTGACACAAAGAGGTGGCATCAACAGAAGGAGCTGAGTCTCTGCACACGGCACCCTTTCACTGTTCCACGCTCTGCCTTTGCTCTTTGCCAAACACAAAGCTCTGCTGCTCTTTTCCTCTCCCCTCAAGCAACCTGATTATGGGGAAATCAATGTGACCATCCCCTTCTCCAAATCTACAGGGCAGTGACCACCATGAGCAAGGGAACTGGCTCAGGGAGGACAGGGTGAGACCACAGAACGCAGACCCAGTGCCCTCCTCTAAAGAGCCCTTGGACTGTGTCCTGAGGGGCTGGACAGGAAAGAACCTGGAGGTAAGATAAAAGCAGTGACCCCAGGTGTCCAAGGATTGGCTGGTCTCCTCTCCCTAAATGGTCAAGCGGTATCTGCTCACTACTCCTCCATATTAAGGAAATCCCAGCAAGCATGGGGGCAAGTGATGGGAACTTGAGAAGGATGCAGGCTGGGGGTGACCAAGAGGAATCGAAACTCAGAAGACAGCTCATGGAGGAGGAACTGGAGAGGTTGCAAAACATCTCTAAGTGGGGCCTCACAAGGGAGCATCACAGGCAGGGCTCTGGCACCATCCACTGAACCCTAGTTTGAGCCTTATGATTCTTCTACTTGGATTCTTAACACTGGCTGAAAAATTGGGGGAGAGAAACGCAGACAGGAAACCACCTTTCCTCTGAACTCCTCCTCAGTTTTTAACCTCTCCTCACCAGGTCACAAACACTTTACTTCAGGTTCCCTCTGATTCCAGGATCACCTAGACCCTCCCAACCAGCACATGATCCAACACATGCTCCCCAGACAAGCCCTGGTGAGCCTGAGAGTAGAGAAAAAGAGATGAGAACAAAAGGAGCTGCAACCCTCACTGCTGCCCAGTCTCACCCAAGCAAGGAGAGGCCTCGCTGGACACTAAGGGCCCCAGCCTTGCCCTGGCTTTGGGCAGGACCAAGGGCTTAGAGCAGATGTAGCTCCCATTCCCCTCACAAATACCCCAATGTCCAGCTCTTGGAACAGAGGCTTGTCATCCTCTCACATCTGTGCAGAGGGACACGAGGGGGACCCTACATCCCAGGCAGAGCCCCTCCCATCCCCACCCGTGCCCAGATTTCTCACCTGGGCTCCCCACAGCTAATGCTGTCTTCTTCTTCTTCGAGTAGCAAAGGACACAAGGCCCGATGATAAAAACAAGAGCAAAGGCAGCAACACCCAGGATGGTCCACCATTGACTCTGATGCAACAGGCTCTCTCCTGAGAGAGGGACTTATTATATATAACCCAGGCACCCCAGAGCCACAGGCCTGCTCTCCTCTCCCTGACCCTGGCCTCTGACCCAGGGTCACAACCCCCTCCAGGATCACCCCAGGCTCAGCAGAGGGCACAGTGTGTGCACTGTGATTCCCGCTGTGTTCCAGTGGCACTGGACCCGCTGCTCCTCTCCTTGGGGAACACTTTTGGTCACCCAGGTCCGCTAGGCCCCGTTCCCATCAGGCAGGGCACCCCCAGACCGCTGGGCCTCCTGGCTCATGGGTTCCTCATCCCAAAACCAGGCCATGGAGATATTTTGGGGAAAGAAGCCGAAAGCCCAGCATGTGAGGTTGACTGTGCCCTCTGAGTCCTGGCTATGGGTCACGTTCACGGCTGGGGGCCCTGTGGGAGAAAGCACAGAGCCAGTGAGGCCCGGTGCCAAGCCCTGCTCCCTCTAAGGGAGACGGAGAGAACATGCTCCACCTCTGGCTGAGCCCTGGTCCACCCCAGACCTGCTCCAAGTCTGCTCTGCACCCTGGGGCCCAGTTCCTTCAGCCGGGCAGGAGGAGGGGCTGGGATGGGGCCTCACTCTCTTGGATCCACGTGTTGAAGCTGAGGAGGGGGCCGTGCAGGGTGGGCTCCTGGGGACCAGGAGGGAACTTTCTGGGACAGGCAGGCTGGGAGCCAGGGGCGCCCACCCCGGTCTAGGGGCTTCCTCTCCTGCCTGACACCCCTCTTCCCTGGTACAGATTCTGTCGGAGGGCCCACTGCTCCCCTGGATGATTGTCACTGGTGCGGTTCATTCCCCTCCCCACCTGCCCATCTTTCTACAGTGGATTTAACAGAGCAGGAAATTGCAGGACACCACGCCAGCAGAGCAAATGTGCACCCAGAGGACAGGAAGGGTCTCCATGTGCAGTCACGGCGGGGAGGCTCTAGGGGTCTGGGGGAGAGGAAGGGCCCTGGCCCAGGAGCAGTACCTGTTCTCTCCCTGAAGCCTGTCCAGGATTCCAGATACCCCCGCAGTCTTCCACAAAGCTCTCCCTGCATGTGGGCCTGGTAATACTTGCTTTGAAAGCCATCTGTGTCCCAGGACTTCTCCATTTCCATGGCCAAGTTCCAAGCCAAGGACTGGGGCACTGTACATCCATGGGTCTCTGGGTGACAGGAGAGGAGGAACTCCCCATCATAGTAGCGAAACCTGAAGCCCCAGGCATGGTTGTCTTCTCGGATTTCACAGCCCAGATCTCCTGGAGGGAATTCACACCTGCAACCCACCCCACCAGCAGTGACTCCTCCAGTCCCTGCTGTCCCTCTGTCCTCACACCCAAGTGAGAAACTCCAGCCAGAGGGCACCCTCCCTGCTCCCCTCCATGTCTTCCCAGGGCTGCTGAGTCATGACCACCCCCCTGCTGAACTCACAGACCCCTATCCTCTGGCCCCTGCCCCCAAATCCAGTGAAAGGCCTCCCAGCACTCTCAGACCCTCCCCACTGTCACCTCCTTTCTCCTCCTGCAGGGCCAGGATTTCTGCTAGAAGCTTTCTGAGGTCCTTCCAGGTCTCTGTCAAGTCCTTGGACTCTGTGTCCAACGTCTCAGCTCCCAGCTCTTCTGCCCACAGCCCCCGGGGTTCTACCCTGCCTGTCTCACAGTCATAGCGCAGGAGGGCCTGGCCATCCAAGTGTCCCCCAGCGAAAAAGCTGGACTGCACAGATCCATCCCGGGTCAGCGCCGTGAGGTTGTAATGAAGACTGTGTGATCCTGGGGAAGGGG